AAAAAAAAAAAAAAAAAAAGAGAGATATAAAAAATCAAAGTGAAAGCTTCCCACTTTGGCTAAGACATAATGTTAATTCAACAGATTCCCATGTGGAACCTCTGAAGTCAAATTAGTGGCTTAACATTTAAAACAAATTATTTGGGCATGATATGTACTGCAGTCTGGAAGTAATGTCATATCACAACAAGGAAATGAAATCAAGAAAGAACTGTTCGCCTCACGAATGAAACAAATTTGGCTCATCAGCCCTCATAAAAAATAAGGATGAAGAAGGAATAAGTTCTCACGTGAAATTGTGTTACTATTTTGGCGATAAGAAGAGATAAGCAAGCAACTGTGACCTAAGTGATAAAGAAATGATGTTTTTTAAAAAATTATTTTTACATTAATCACCTGACAAACACATCCTTATTCAAGCTGCTAAGCAAATCTATTCAGGCGGCTGAGAGGAGTCCCAGAGATGGGCTGGCACCTTTGCTCCACCACTCACTAGCCATGTGATGGGGGAAAGTGTCCCAACCTCCATAAACACCCACTCCCCAAGCTGTCAAGTGGGGATCACAGCAGTGCTGTCCTCAGAGAGGGTGCTGGGGGAAGGGGGCCGCTGAAGGGCTAGCACAGTGCTTGGGACACAGAGAAATCCTCAATATGTGTTACTTTATTAGTAATAATAAAGTTACATATCCAAGTTTCATTTTTTAAAAAGTGGAAAATACTATCTTTTAAATAAAGCAAATCAGTCCGGCAGACGTTGAAAAGGTCTTGAACCCAGACAAAGGCAAAGGAGGAAGTTCCTTCTCCAAGTTAAAGATGAAAGTCGTACCATTGCTTGTACTGTTTTCCTAAGCATATCCCCGGGATATACATCATATATCCCAGACTGTAAGAATCATCTCGGGGGGGAAAAAAAGAGAGACAGAAAGAACAAAGCAAGTGACCAACTAGTGCCTGAGATATCCTGTCCCTTCTCCTTCATAAAAATTTTCGATCACATTAAATAGGCCATCCCTAGTCTCTTTTATTAGCATATGTAGCCAGAGAATAAGAGGTTTCTTTTACAATAAAACTTTAAGTCAAGAACAGTCAGTTATGAATAGTTCTACTATGTTTCAATAAACGTTTTTAACATCTACAAATACCTAACTCCTGTTGAATTCTGTACATATAAGATGGACAATGTTAAGATCACCTGGGAGAGCTGAAACACAAGACATCGTTCTAAAAGCAAGACAGGTGTAGCAAATAATCATAAAGGAGGGAGACAATGGAAGTGTATCTTTCTAAGCACAGAACAGGGCAGAGACCTCAGAGACATGCAGACTGGATTTTCTATTATGGTGAAGATTTTAATATTCTACTTCTTGTTACTGTGTAGTTATATTAATATCAAATCAAAATTGTAATAGAGAAATATCAATAAAGAAATCCTAAGATAATAACATAAATGAAGAGCAGCGTAGCTAAATCAATAATTATTATTTTCAAAAAGAGTTGACGATGTACGAGATACTCTTTTTCAACATCTTTATGGAAAAAAATTGCAGAAATCAACTGTGCAATCTCAAAACAATGGGGCAAGGTTTCAAAATCACTGGTGACAAGAAAACTACAAGTTAAACTCCAGTTTCCAGATCAAACCTGCCATGTTCACAATACCTAACAAGACAAATGACTTTCTTCTTTGTTAAATTTTAAATACTAACTTGTTTAAAGGTGCTTTGCCTAGTTTATCTTCATAACTTGTATCTTCAATATTATAATAGTTCATACTGCTACTTTATGACACAGGGAGCAATTTTTAATCAAACAGACATGGGAAAAAACAGTATTAAGAAAGTGTAGGTACTCCCCTGGTGGCACAGTGGTTACGAATCCGCCTGCCGATGCGGGAGACACGGGTTCGAGCCCTGGTCCGGGAAGATTCCACGTGCAGCGGAGCAACTACGCCCGTGCGCCACAACTACTGAGCCTGCGCTCTAGAGCCCGCGAGCCACAACTACTGAGCCCATGTGCCACAACTACTGAAGCTCTCGCGCCTAGAGCTCGTGCTCCGCAACAAGAGGAGGCACTTCAATGAGAAGGCCACGCACCGCAACGAAGAGTAGCCTCCGCTCGCCGCAACTAGAGAAAGCCCGAGCGCAGCAACAAAGACCCAACACAGCCAAAAACAAATAA